GGGTAGCTCATTATTCCGGAAGACGAAGTGAACATCAGGAGATGAATATACAAGGGGGAGTAATAAGGAGCCCGTCCGTGTGCCATTAGACTGCTGTATGGCAAAGAATGGTCGATTACTGCCCCTGGTTGGAAGTCAAGCGCGATGGATCTAGTAGGGGCTATAAGTGCGAAGTTAAATGGAAAGTGAAAGAGGGGGGGGGGGGGGGGGGGAGTCCTAGTAATTCCGTACAAATTTTGGAGAAGTTTATGTGGGAGAAGGGGATGTGTGTGATGTTGAGAGGAAGGGTTATGTGTGATGTTAAGAGGAGGGGATATTGTGATGTTGAGAGGAGGGGATATGTGCAATGTTGAGAGGAGGGGATTGTGTGATGTTGAGAGGAGGGAATATGTGTGATGTTGAGAGGAGGGGATATGTGTGATGTTGAGAGGAGGGGATATGTGTGATGTTGAGAGGAAGGGTTATGTGTGATGTTGAGAGGAGGGGATATTGTGATGTTGAGAGGACAGGATGTGTGGGATGTTGAGAGGACAGGATATGTGGGATGTTGAGAGGACAGGATATGTGTGATGTTGAGAGGACAGGATATGTGGGATGTTGAGAGGAGGGGATGTGTGTGATGTTGAGAGAAGGGAATATGTGTGATGTTGAGAGGAGGGGATATGTGTGATGTTGAGAGGAAGGGTTATGTGTGATGTTGAGAGGAGGGGATATTGTGATGTTGAGAGGAGGGGATATGTGTGATGTTGAGAGGAGGGGATGTGTGTGATGTTGAGAGGAGGGAATGTGTGTGATGTTGAGAGGAGGGGATGTGTGTGATGTTGAGAGGAGGGAATATGTGTGATGTTGAGAGGAGGGGATATGTGTGATGTTGAGAGGAGGGGATATGTGTGATGTTGAGAGAAGAAGATATGTGTGATGTTGAGAGGAGGGGATATGTGTGATGTTGAGAGAAGAGGATATGTGTGATGTTGAGAGGAGGGGATATGTGTGATGTTGAGAGGAGGGTATATGTGTGATGTTGAGAGAAGAGGATATGTGTGATGTTGAGAGAAGAGGATATGTGTGATGTTGAGAGGGGGAATGTATTTGCTGTTGAGACAAGGGGATATGTGTGATGTTGAAAGGAGGGGATATGTGTGATGTTGAGAGGAGGGTATATGTGTGATGTTGAGAGGAGGGGATATGTGTGATGTTGAGAGGAGGGGATGTGTGTGATGTTGAGAGGGGGGAATATGTGTGATGTTGAGAGGAGGGGATGTGTGTGATGTTGAGAGGAGGGAATATGTGTGATGTTGAGAGGAGGGGATGTGTGTGATGTTGAGAGGAGGGAATATGTGTGATATTGAGAGGAGGGGATATGTGTGATGTTGAGATGAGAGGATATGTGTGATGTTGAGAGGAGGAGATGTGTGTGATGTTGAGAGGAGGGGATGTATGTGATGTTGAGAGGAGGGGATATGTGTGACGTTGAGAGAAGGGGATATGTGTGATGTTAAGAGGAGGGGATATGTGTGATGTTGAGAGGAAGGGACATGTGTGATGTTGAGAGGAGGGGATATGTGTGATGTTAAGAGGAAGGGACATGTGGGATGTTGAGAGGAAGGGACATGTGTGATGTTGAGAGGAAGGGACATGTGTGATGTTGAGAGGAGAGGTATATGTGTGATGTTGAGAGGAAAGCTATATGTGTGATGTTGAGAGGAGGGGATATTGAGATGTTGAGAGGAGGGGATATTTATGATGTTGAGAGGAGGGGATATGTGTGATGTTGAGAGGAGGGATGTATGTACTGTTAAGAGAAGAGGATATGTGTGATGTTGAGAGGAGGGGATATGTGTGATGTTCAGAGGACGGGATATGTGTGATGTTGAGAGGAGGGTATATGTGTGATGTTGAGAGGAGGGGATATGTGTGATGTTGAGAGGAGGGGATATGTGTGATGTTGAGAGGAGGGATGTATGTGCTGTTGAGAGAAGAGGATATGTGTGATGTTGAGAGGAGGGGATATGTGTGATGTTGAGAGAAGAGTATATATGTGATGTTGAGAGAAGAGGATATATGTGATGTTGAGAGGAGGGGATATATGTGATGTTGAGAGAAGGAGATATGTGTGATGTTGAGAGGAGGGGAGCAAATGATATAGAGTAAAACGACGTTAACAGGAATCAGAGGACCAGAAAATCAAGAGCTCATGTTGGAAAAAACAATCGCTGTGACCAAATATTTTGCATCCTAATCTAGCCTTCTTCTTTTTACTGAACTTTAACTGTATTATTTTTGAGTTTTTCCTTCTTCGCTTCTGCTGCCGTTGCCTCTTCTTCTTCTGCTGCTGTTGCAGCTGCTACTGCTCCTGTTGCTGCTTCTTCTTCTTCTTTTTTCGTCTCCTTTTTTTTCTTCTTCTTCTTCTTCTTCTTCTTCTTCTTCTTCTTCTTCTTCTTCTTCTTCTTCTTCTTCTTCTTCTTCTTCTTCTTTTTTTTTTCTTCTCCTTCTTCTGCTTCTTCTTCTTCCTCACCCTCCTCTTCTTCTTTTTTCTTTTTCTTCTTCTTCTTCTTCTTCTTCTTCTTCTTCTTCTTCTTCTTCTTCTTCTTCTTCTTCTTCTTCTTCTTCTTCTTCTTCTTCTTCTTCTTCTTCTTCTTTTTCTTCTTCTTCTTCTTTTTCTTTTTCTTCTTCTTCTTCTTTTTCTGATTCTTCTTCTTCTGCATCATCTTATTTCATTTTGATGCGCCCGTACCTTGCGGTGTCGATGTAAAATATAATTTACGGAAAAGGTCCCGTTTTCGTGCTTCGTAAATTATTATTTCCAGGGCCTCTGTAATTCCCTTTGTCGGAAATGGCATGGTCGGCCTCTTCTTCCACCTAGTCTGTACACCATTGTTTGTTGTGGTATACTGTCTACAGACATCTGCGTTACATGGCCAAACCATTTCAGTCTTTATCTTCTAATGAAATCTAGAGCTGCTACTACTACCCCTATTTTCCTTCGGATTTAATCGTTTCATGTCTTATCTCTTCTTATTATATTGAGAGTCCTCATTGCAGTTGTAACTTTTTTTTTTTCTGTCATTGTTCAGGTTTTGCATTGATAGCACAGGGTTTTCAAGTGTTCGTTTAGTTTATGTTGATACATATTTGTTACTTAGTATTGTGCCATTTGCCCGATGTTGTGGTTTGCTTTGTTAAATCTGTCATCAATTTCATCTTCTGTCTTGCCAGCTGATAGTAATATCTTTTATAAAAATTTCAAGTTCTTGGATTGTTTCAGAGGGTTTTTATGTCAGCTGCAGATTTATTGTTTTGTCTACTTTGGCTGTGATCATGGCCTCTGTTTTGTTGGTGTTAATTCTCGTGTTATCCTCCTTCAAATTTGGTTTCAATAATTTGTGGGGTCTTGCAGTTCGGTTTCCGAAGATGCAATTAGTGACTGGTCATCCGCAAATAGTAGTTCTTTGATGGGATTCTTTTTTCCCTTTGAATCTTCTTTTTCTTGGTGTATTATAGTCATTGTCTTGTTGGTTTCTGTAAAGATGTTATTAGGGAAAGTTATGAAGAGAAGGGAGACAGGACACAGTCTTGTCGTACTTTAGATTTCATGGAAATGGTTCTCAGTATCCTCGGTTTGTTTAACAGTACATCCACTGTTGTTATACAATCTTTTACATGTGTTTATTAAATGCGTGTATACACATAGTAACTTTTTAAGATTCCCCATAGTTTGTACCTATCTACTCTGTCAAGTGATTTTTCTTCATCAATAAAGGCTAAAAAGAGTGTTTCGTTAAAGTCTTCTTTTTCTTCTTCTTCTTCTTCTTTTTTTTCTTCTTCTTCTTCTTCTTCTTCTTCTTACGTTCGCTTGAAATAAATTATCTATACCTGCAATGTTGTCTCTAGTATGAGCCTCAGGCTTTTGTAATTAACTCAACGACCCGGAACGTTTTACTTGCACTGTTGTTTCTCTCGGCCAAGAAGATTTTGCCTTAAAACGTTGTATTTGGGACAGTCTTGGAGGACATGATCTGTTGTCTCAGGTGCCAGTCCACATGTGCACATGGCTGATTCACCGATTTGAAATTTTGTCTACATGTGGCTGCGAAGTCGATTGTGTTAAATTCAGTTGATTTGTCTAAATAGTCTTAAAGCAGAGATGGCATATGTGCATCCCGTGTTGTTGTTGTTGTTGTTTTTTTTTTTCTAAATCTCAATTGCGCTTTACTTAGCTCGGTATCAATTACCAGTCGTTCTCTTTTCTCGAAAATTTAGCAGAATACTTTCCCGGTATGACTCAATAGAGAGATGTTTCTGTACTGTGTGCAGTCTCTTCTACTGTCTGTAGTTGTCCCATATTGGAATGATTGTGGCATTTCACCAGGCATATGATGTCTGTTGTTTCACCCTCACATACTTCTGCATTCGCCCCTGAAAGTATGGTTGGCATGCTGTGTTGTGGTTTAAGCTGGGCAGCGATATCCGCACCTTTCGGCCAAACACACCCGGTTTCAGCTAAAATCATAATTAGCTACTTTTTATGGCATTCTTGGGGAAACAAGGAAAGTGGGTCTGCTCTTCTCACCCCCCCCCCCCCCCCTTTCCCCCACATACTGTCTGAACACTGAAGGATTTCAGGGTTGTCCGTTCAGTCGTAATTTTATGAGATATGAATTTATAAAGGGAAGGAAAATGCACGTGACTTGGAGAGGGAAAAAAATTTTCGTCTCCATCGAGAGCAAGTTTTATAAATGGCCATGGCTCTAATGTCGACCCAGCCTCCAAGGGGTACCTTGTAATTTCCTGGGAAACAAAGGCGGCCGGTGGGATGTTGGCAACATTGCCGTTCAAATCCTGATTGGTCTGTAACTAATTTGGGTCCTGTACCATGTGCCTAAAGCGCCAGTTAAGTAATTTCTATGGCTGTCAAGAATTTAGATGATGAGGTGTCCAGCTACTTCTCTTTAGAAATAAACATGAATCTAATCTTACTTCCCTTTTTCCTGTGGTTGCAGCCAAGAGGAAGCGCAGCAGATAGACCAGGAGCTCTTCAATGAGTATCTTTTCAGTTTGGATCAACTGATGGAGCTTGCTGGATACAGCTGTGCTGTGGCTATTGCTAGGGTAAGTCTATGGGTGGTCATGTAACAGTGGGAGTGATATGAGATGCGTAACATGGGAGTGAACCATGGTGAAGCACGTCTGTAGGCTGGTCATGTAACAGTGGGAGTGACATGAGATACGTGACATGGGTGTAAAGCGTGGTGAAGCACGTCTATGGGTGGTCATGTAACAGTGGGAGTAACATGAGATACGTGTCATGGGAGTAAAGCGTGGTGAAGCATGTTTATGACAGTTCATGTAACAGTGGGAGTGACATGAGATACGTTGCATTGGTGTAAAGCGTGGTGAAGCAAGTCTATGGGCTGGTCGTGTAACAGTGGGAGTAACATGAGATACGTGACATGGGTGTAAAGCGTGGTGAAGCATGTCTATGGGCTGGTCTTGTAGCAATGGGAGTAACATAAAATACGTGACATGGGCGTAAAGCGTGGTGACGGACGTCTGTGAGCTGGTCGTGTAACAGTGGGAATAACATGAGATACGTGACATGGGAGTAAAGCATGGTGAAGCACGTCTTAGCAGCCTTAGAAGGCGAGATAGCAGACTGTATAACCAACACCTCAAGAGAACAATCAGTGGAAGTACCTTGGAAAGGCTGTTGCATTGCAGCACGTTTGGGAACGACACAGTTGCAGTGGCGTCGATTGTGATAGCATGACAAAACATATGCAGGAGAATTGTTCTGTTTTCAAGAACACTAAAGCAATCACATACACAGCTTTACGGGAAACTATGAATAAGAGCTAATAGACTGAAATGGTTGAGGCATATGGAAAGAATGTCAGACGACAGAGAAGTAAAAACTGTATACGCCAGGGAGATGAATGGTCGTAGACCACGAGGGAGACCAAGAAGACAATAGAGAGATAATATTCAGACAGACCTGCAAACACTTGGTGTTACCAGCAGGAAACAGAAGGCCAACCCCCCGTGTGGGTTCCGGGGCCCCATTGTGGGGAAAACAAGAATAGACCCACTGCCTCCCCAAAAGCATGTCGTAAGAGTCAACTAATTGGGGAGCTTCCTTTGAAGTCGGAGTGCATCTGCCGGAGAGGCAAGGATCCAACAGTCTGTATTCAAGAGAATGAGATCTGTAAAACTGATGCACACGCAACACTCAGGTTCTCAAGCAAGACTGCAGTTCAGTAGTGGACGAGCAACCAGAACCTGCCGCCAGAGTTTACAGCTAGTGAACGCAAAGAAGAAGAAGAGAAGGCCAACTAGAATGATGAAAGGAGGCGGGTGATTTCTGCAGCAATGAACCTCAAGGGTTCGGAATGATGAAGAAGAAGAAGATGAATGAAACAGATTTTGTGGAAGAATAGAATAAAAGGCAAGTTATATGTTTTAACAGAAAGAACAGCTAATGATATTATCATTTCTAATTATTTCAATTTCAGAGGGTTTCTCTGTAAGCTGTATATTTATTGTTTTGTCTACTTTGGCTATAATCATCTCTTCTGTTTTGTTGGCGTTAACTTTTATGTTGTTATCCTTTTACAAATTTAATTTCAATAATGTGTGTGGTCTTGCAGTTCAGTTTCCGAAGGTGCAATTAGTGACTAGTCGTCCGCAAATAGTAGTTCTTTGATGGAATTGTTTGCTTTTGGATCTTCTTTTTCTTGGTGTATTATAGTCCTTATCTGGTTGGTTTCTGTACAGATGTTATCAGTGTAAGTTGTGAAGAGAAGGGAGACAGGACACAGCCCTGCCGTACTTTAGATTTCATTGAAATGGCTCTCAGTGTCCTCGGTTTGTTTACCAGTGCATTCACTGTTGTTTTACATTTTCATTTACAAAAAGAAAGAAAGAAAGAAAGAAAGACAGACAGACAGACAGACAGACAGACAGACAGACAGACAGACAGACAGTTCAAGGCAGCAGCTGTACAAATGTGTGGGTTACAGGAAGAAGTTGACCAACAATCCTAAAGGGTTTCTAGCAGCCCCGAAGGACCTTCATTAGGAAGCGGCACCTAATTGATTAACAACATGTTATTGATCCAAATTATTGATTGACTAGGCAGGAGACATTATATATATATATATATTGTAAATTCTTTGAAACTACACATACACACAATCTCGCGCGTGCGCGTGCGCACACACTCACAGAGTTAAAAAAACGCATAGTTATTCGACCTCTCGTTTTTTATTAGTTTGTAAAAAAAAAAAAATAGCATACTCGGTTGTGTGCAAGGCAGACTCAGATCTTGTTTACTGTGTCATGTGGACATGTGTCCGTGAATTGAGTGGGTTTTTGCAGTCGTTACAACGCAGTGGTCAGTTGTGTCTAAGACCATATTTGTGAGCATAGCTCTTAATGCGCGTACGAGAAAACAACACAATTTGGAGTGAACACTATTTACTGCTTACGCAATTGAACCCTATAAAAAGGATAACGCTATACCAAAACATACAGTTCATTTTCAAGCAGTCTCGAATGGCGCCTCTGTCGATAAATTTAAGGAATATTGCTACTGGCCGATTGCCGGCAGGAGAAAGTCAAAGTCAGGTTGATGGGCAAAAAAATGTGTGTGTATATATAAATGTATGTATATGTATATATGTAAATGCATGTATATGCACACACATTATGTGTGTGTATTACACACATAATGTGTATCTGAGTATATGTATGTGTGTCCTGTGTCCTGGTTAAGTTGTACACTTGCCAGATACAAATCCACTGAACCGGCCCAGGTAAATACATGGAAACATATCATACTGGTCTCTTTAACTGCGTCAGTGCTGGACACAGAACAACACTTGGATCTTGGCTGGCTCACCTGTGAGGAGAGGATCTGATATTATCTGCATTACTGTATGATTGTTGTTAGCGTAAGTATGGGCGCGACTTGTGGAACTGCTGTATTTTTGTCTGATTCTTGTTAGGGTACGTCTGTTGGAAGTATCATGGAACAGTCTATCATTGTCTGATTCTTGCTAGGGTAAGTCTGTGCGAAGTATCATGGAACAGTCTATCATTGTCTGACTCTTGCTATGGTAAGTCTGTGGGAAGTATCATGGAACATTCTATCATTGTCTGACGCTTACAATGGTAAGTTTGTGGAAAGTATCATGGAACAGTCTATCATTGTCTGATTCTTGCTAGGGTAAGTCTGTGGGAAGTATCATGGAACATTCTATCATTGTCTGATTCTTGCTAGGGTAAGTTTGTGGAAAGTATCATGGAACAGTCTATCATTGTCTGATTCTTGCTAGGGTAAGTCTGTGGGAAGTATCATGGAACAGTCTATCATTGTCTGACTTTTGCTAGGGTAAGTCTGTCCGAAGTATCATGGAACATTCTATCATTGTCTGACTTTTGCTAGGGTAAGTCTGTGGGAAGTATCATGGAACAGTCTATCATTGTCTGACTCTTGCTATGGTAAGTCTGTGGGAAGTATCATGGAACATTCTATCATTGTCTGACGCTTGCTATGGTAAGTTTGTGGGAAGTATCATGGAACATTCTATCATTGTCTGACGCTTGCTAGGGTAAGTCTGTGGAAGGTATCACGGTACATTCTATCATTATTTGATTCTTGCTAGGGTAAATTTGTGGGAAGTATCATGGAACATTCTATCATTGTCTGACTTTTGCTATGGTGTCTATAGTCGAGTCACTGAACAGTTGTATCATTGACTGATTCTTGCTAGGGTAAGTCTGTCTCATGGAATATTTTATCATTGTCTGACTGTAAGTCTAGAGAAAGTCTATGATCGAGTCATGGAATTGTTATATCATTGTTGCTAGGATCAGTCAGTTTGTGGTCGTGTCATGGAACAGTTGTATAATTGTCTGACTTTGCAAGGGTAAGTCTGTGGTCGAGTGGTGTAGCTGTTGTATTATTGTCTTTCTGTTGTTAGCGTAAGTCTGTGAACATTTCGTGTAGCTGTTGTATCATTGTCTGACTTTGCAAGGGTAAGTCTGTTAGCGAGTGATGGAACATTTGTCTGAATGTAGATAGCGTACTGACTAGACGGGTTTTAAAAAAAAGGTGACTCGTCGTGCGACTCATTACTCGTTCAAACAATAGTATTCTTATAGCTTACAGTTCCTTCGAAGTCAGCTTCCATCTGCGTGAGAGGCAAGAAACCAGCAATCTACATACACATAAGTCAGATCTGTAAAACGGATGTGCACGCAGCACTCAGTTTCTGGAACAAGACTTAAGAGGTGGACAAACAACCAGAACTTTCTGCCGGAGTTTACAGGCCCGTGAACACGAAGAAGAAGACAGCTCACGAAATAATAATTCTCATGACACCTTTAAACAATAATATTCCTACATCTGTCTAACATGTTATATCTCACTACCCCTGCGAACAGTATTATTCCTATAGATAAAAACGTGTTATTTCTCATTTCTCCTCGGCACATTATTATTCCTACAGCAGTCTTCTTCTTCTCCTCCTCCCCCTCCTCCTCCTCCTTCTTCTTCTTTTTCTTCTTCTTATTTTTCTTCTTCTTCTTCTTCATCTCCTCCTGTCTGTTCCTGGAGTGCCTCGCGGCGTCAGGGCAGAAAGAATCTTCTGGAACGCACCCTTCTGTTCGCTTCGTATAAAGTTCTTTTCGGTGTTTCTTATATTTCTGCATTCCATCAATACGTGGTCGGCCTCTAGTTCTCTTGTCGTTGTATCTGTATAACATTGCTCTCTGTGGGACCTCGTCTAATGCCAGTCTTATTACATGGCCAAACCATTTGATTTGTTTTCTACCTATAAAGTTCACCAGTATGATGTGTTGTTTCTCCATTATCTCTCTGCTGTCAGTGCTACCCTCCCGAGAGCCTGAAGAAGGACCACGCTGCTGTGCTGGTGTGTTGTGGACCCGGTAACAATGGCGGAGATGGGCTGGTGTGTGCCCGTCACATGAAGCTATTTGTAAGTTTGAAATTTCTTCTTCTTCTTTGTGATCGGTTTCGTATGTTCAGGTCAGACCATTAGGTGGATTGCCTCTATGAACTCTCATGTCGGTTGCAGGTCCTACTTGGTTCCCCATAGCTTGCTCTGCACACTTTGCTCTTGAGGCCAGATTTCTAGTTTGAAATCTACGACGCCGCTAAACAGCAGAGTCCATGATTCAGTGGCTGTAGTACCTGTTAACTAAAGCTAACTGAATATATTTTAGCTTGTTATTTCTCTCGGTTTTTTAACAATACTTTAGCTCCCAGATCGATCTAGCCTTGAGTCGGTACTAAGTAAAGTCATGGGAAGTTAAGGCGGCTGGGCAATGTTAACCACATTACCCACTGCGTGCCGACTGGTCTCAGAATATATGTATAGCACTATATGTCATGCACTGAGAATGGATCAGATCGGATCCCCCCCCCCCCCCCGTAACAGAGTAAGGTCATAACTTGTTTGTTAGGAGGCACATAGCTAGGTTATTGAGCAGAGTTATCATGTACCGGAAATCAACAAGTTTTGGCAGCCTTGACATTCTTTTCTAGAAACTTCGTTTGTTATTAACAGAGAAATGTTTTGCAAATGTATAATCTATAAATAGTATATGACGTCATTGTTGACGTGCCCTATCAAAGTGAACGCAGTTGCACTGGCTTTCTAGAAGCTTCTATGAGGACAAATGTCAATTTAACTACTATATTTGCACAGAATAAGATGACAAAATCTGATGCAATCGAGATATAATTAGCAAATCGCTCGTAAGAACGTACATAGTAAATAAGTTGAGCATACACGAATATTCTAAAAGCAGAAAAAGTTAGAAGAAAACAAATAACTAGCATTCCAGCATCCAAGTATAAATAATGAGTGAGAAGCCACTAGGGTGATTCTCCAGTCCACAAGACTCAAGAGACGAGGGACGTTATATGGACTCTCAAAGAATGCTTTCAGTCGTCGAGACTCAGAGGACGAGCGACTTGTCTCAGTGACCCTCGCAGTTTTGGAGATGCCAACTCAAAACTAGAGGGAGAGGAGCCAGTCACTTTGAGCCTCAAAGACAGACACTGGAGGGCAGACATAACACGAGACAACGAACTACAGAGACAACATAAAAGATGCATAGATCTATGGTTAACAGCGACACATTAGGTAGGAAACTATAGAGATATTAGAGTCGACGATCAAGCCGTTAGTGCCAGACAGCACTAGAAGCCAGGTGGCAGTTATTGACACTACAGCCAGTTAACAAAGTAACTAGAGATGAAGAACACAACGCGAACTCAAGAGTGTGTAGCCATAGGGAGAACACAGCGCCTTTCAGAATACCATTAACGTTGTTTGTAACATTGCTGAAGTATTACAATAAAGACAGTATAGACAAGAACAGTTGTTTCCAGCCATTTAATATTTCAAGCATCAGAGTCACGTGAGAAGCAAGCAGCATGCAAGACATCATCATCATCGTCACCACTATCGACACGACCATCTTTCTCCTCGTCTATAATCTTCTAATCGACTCCTCCTGTAGCAAAACTAAAGACGAACCTGGGTGTGACATCGACATATACAACGAAAAAGAGAGCTGTGCTACAACCCCCCCCCCCCCCTCCTTTCCCAAATATGGACACCGAAAGTGAAAAGCAAAGGGGGAAGACCAAGAGAGACCCCGCGTTTATCCATCATCAGGGAAAGCTTAGCCTTGGGGCTAACAAACATCCACGACCTAAAACAGGCGGCAACGACCCACCAGACACGGAAAGGTATGGCCTCTGCCCTTTGCGCCGCCCTAGGCTCAAGGGGAAAGACTAACTAATGCTATGCCCAATACGCCTAATGGCAAGAAAAAAGGGACCTTTATTTCTGGACGGCTTTCATTCCTTAACCTGTGGGCGCGTGTCGTCATGCGTGAAAATGCTTGGTAGTGGCTTTGGGCCGCCACGACCACAGGGACCTCTTGCTGATTTATTTTATCAAAATTGTCGGTACAACTCACGTTTTCAGGCCCAGCCACACCGTGATTGACAGTTCATTGGTGCATCTTGACCTTTCACACGCGCGACTTTCTCTTACAGGGATGTCAGGTTGCAAAGTCTCCTACTCTATCACCGGCGATATCTCGCGTTCCATACTACACGTTACCCCACTTTTAACGTCGCAATATCGTCTACAACTGGCGCTAACACCAACCCCCTTAGGAGACAGCCTCAGCCTAGGTCCCACGAGAGAGTGCTTTCTAACATGATACCCCTGTAAGAGAAAGTCGCAGGTGTTAAAGGTTCAGATGCATTAATGTACGGCCAATCACGGTGTCGCTGGGCCCGAAAATGTGAGTAGTTCCATATTTTTGTAATTGTAATAATGTGCAGGCAGGAATTGGGGCATTGCTTGTTCCACGTGATGGGGAGGGAGGAAATTGCCCTAATGCAGCCAAGAAGTTCTAGCGGCAATAATCCCTACAGGAAGCTTGGGGTCAGTAGTAGACTAAAGGTAAAGGTGACAGGGTCGACTTCATTGCACCTTGTTCTATCCCATATGGCTCGGTCTCTCTCGGCAGAACGGCTAGCTGCCTGCCGAGAGAGGCGCACAGTGGATGTACTTTGTAGCTCCGGCATGGATCCTCGGGGTCTCATAAAACTTGCACTCTTGAATGGACCGGCGCTGCCGTGAAATGAACCCACGATCTTCAGATTGCGAGGCAAACGGCTTGACCACTTCGCCACGTGGACCCCCAGCCGGTACTAGACTTTGGAGCGGGGTGGGGGCGGTTGCTAATAGAAATAAGAGAGATGTCGATAAAATAGGACAACAGTTACAACAACATAACAAAAAATATTTCATGTTATTCATCAGTTTTATTGTGGATAATATTATCTTGTCTTTATTATCCCTGTACCATTATATCTTGTCAACCCCTTTGTGGGTTGCAAGTTTTCGTTATTTGAAGCCCTACTCTGGCTCTTGCCAGGGGCCGCAATTTAGCCCGGCTATAAATATGGTCTAATGGCTGAACGCTATTACTGGGACCTCTCCACGAGTGATCCTCATCCACGTGGCGCACTTTGTGTCATTTGGTGTTTATCGCTTGTGTGATGTCCTGGTGGGGTGAAAGAAGATTGATAGATTATCCTATTTTACCTAATATTTTCCCTAGTTATTTTAATTTTCCGTCTGACCGATAGAATCCATTGCCGCTCCAATATGGAACACTATTTTTCGTTTTTTTAAGCCCCTACCCCGGCGGTAGTCAGGGTCCTAATATAAACTAACGGTTGAACGGGGTTTCTGCAACAGGTGCACGGGCGATGCTCATCGGAATCGTAGCACTTTGAGTCACCTGGTTTCGGTCACTAGCTGTACGGTCCTGGTCAGGTTAAACGACACACACACAATTGTCTTTGTTTACTGCCAGTGTTTGGGGAAGGGGGAGGGGGGGGGAGTCACTTAAGCATAATTGCCAGTTGCTAGTTTGTCGGCCTGAAAGTATAGGGTTCAATCCGCATTTTTTTTTTTTTTTTTTTACAAATTGGCTTATGACTCCCAATTTGACCCAGCCAAAACTGGGTACGAGGTAATGTACTTGGAAGTAAAGGTGGTCGGTGTAATGTTGACCACATTGACAACCCAGTGCTGATTGGACGTTACATAATGTAGGTATAGCACTTTATGCCTCGTAAGCTAAAGACACGAAAGTAGCCCTTACTTACTGGCGAAGGGAGCCTGCTTGGTCTCGAGACATGGTGTCCGCTTCGATTGCAAGAGGTTCCGGGTTCAATCCCCGGTAAGGGCTGGGATTTTTCACGTGGACTTTGACTTCTAGTAATTCCCTATTCTTCTTCTTCTTCTTCACTTCCTCTTTCACCGCTGTGGGTGTCGAGGGAGATATAAGGTTCTGTTTCTAGCTCTTCTGGCCGCCTCGACCATTGGCACATCGTGCTGTTGTAGAGTTCCTCTGATGTTATCCTTCCATCTTGTTCTTGGTCTACCCCGTGCTCCACGTCCTTCTTCTCTTTTCATGTATGCTTTGTATGGTATGGTGTCACAAGGCATCCTCTCTAAGTGGGCAAACCATTTCAATTGCTGTCTTCGTATGTAATCCAGAATTGGTTCTGTGCCGACTTTTTCTCTTATGATCTCATTCCTGATCTTATCTCTTATGGTCACTCCTACAGCCCTTCTCAGACATCTCATTTCCGTGGTTACTAATTTTCTTTTATGGTTTGTTGTGGGTGACCATAACTGGCACTGGTAGCACAGAGTTGGAATAAATATGCTTTGTGCTGATTGGGATTGTCTTATGCTGTAAGAGGGGGGCAAGCTGTCCCAATACTGGGTTTGCTTTACTGCATCTAATGTTAATTTCTTTATCCAATTTCCAATCTTCGGTAAATGTAGTTCCCAGATATTTAAACTCAGATGCCTGTTTAATGCCTTTGCACCCTATTGCTATGTTTAGATCTGTCTTCTTTTTTCTTATTGACATTACTTCTGTCTTTTCAGTGTTGATTCTCATATTATTTGGTTTCCATGCTGCATTAAATATTCTGTGAAGCCATCTGATGCTGCTTTCACCTGCTGTTTGAATTTTTTATGTTGGTAATCTATCAGCTCCTGGTGCTTTTTATTTGGGAGACTGCTTAATGACTTTTTCTATTTCATCCATTAGTGTGTGTGGTTCTAACACTGTTGCTCTGTGCTCTTCAGTTGTTCTTTCCTGATGATCTCCTAGAGGATTAAAGAGCTCATTGAAGTATTCCCTCCATCTTTCTGCTATCTCGGGTGGATCTATCAATGGCCTTCCTATCTTATCATTAATTATTTCAGTGGGGTTGTAGCTCTCATCTCTTTTCCGCATATTTTTAACAAGTTTGAAAAATTTTCTGCTGGCTGTTTTCTCATTTTCTGCTAATGACTCGCCGAAACGTTCCCAGGATGCTTGTTTTGCTTTCTTGACACTCCTGTTGGTTTCTCTCCTTTGCAGTCTATAGTTTTTATAATCTTCTTTTTTTTTCTTTTTTTTTTTTTTTTGATTTTATCCACTGTTTATATGTCTTTTTTTTTTTTTTTTAATTGCTTCTTTTACTTCTTCGCACCACCAAGGTGAAAATTTGTTATTTCCCCGTCTGTTTCCACTCTTCCGTTTACCACATAATTCTTCTGCAATACTAAGCATGTAATTCCCCCTGGTCTCTGGATAGTGAGATCGGACGCCCGTGTGCATTGATGCGCACGTAAAAATCCGTTGGCAGTTGGAAATTGAAAAGAGAAGCCTAACGGCGCTGCCCGGGGTAAATTTTGAGTTAAAAATCAACCCATAGTATTTCAGGATCCTCGCTGGTGCTCCAGATTATGTGCACTGTGCTGAGCTTTTTTAGACTCAGATTTGTGTTAGAAAAAGAATGGAGAACTTATGGGTTACTACCTGTGTTCAGTGATGTTGGTCCATTGTTCAAACGTCAAACTTCAAACTTACTGCCAAAGTTGCTTTGGTTGATTTCAATTAACAATAACTTCAGTTTTAGGCTTCAGTAAGTCTTGCTGACAACAGCACGTGTATGTGCAGTTGTGTCCTTTGGTCAGGTAAAGAGGTTGAAGGCTCTGGAGGATATTGTGATGACTGGGAAGATCCACGGTAGAATTTGAAGAGGCAGATCAAGAGAGATGATGATGGATGGACTGCGACGGTGGCACAGAGTGATGTCGGCGGAGCTGATTCACCAAGAGAGATGATGACGGATAAACTGCGACGGTGGCACATAGTGATATCGGTGGAGCTGATACACCAAGAGAGATGATGATTGATGGACTGCGACGGTGGCACAGAGTGATATCATCGGTGAAGCTGATTCACCAAGAGAGATGATGACAGATGGACTGCGACTGTGGCACATAGTGATATCATCGGTGGAGCTGATCCACCAAGAAAGATGATGACGGATTGACTGCGACGGTGGCACAGAATGATATCGGTGGAGCTGATCCACCAAGAGAGATGATGACGGATAGACTGCGACGGTGGCGCAGAGTGATATCGGTGGAGCTGATCCACCAAGAGAGATGATGACGGATTGACTGCAACGGTGGCGCAGAGTGATATCGGTGGAGCTGATCCACCAAGAGAGATGATGACGGATAGACTGCGACGGTGGCACAGAATGTCGGTGGAGCTGATCCACCAAGAGAGATGATGACGGATGGACTGCGACGGTGGCACAAAATGATATCATCAGTGGAGCTGATCCACCAAGAGAGATGATGACAGATAGACTGCGAAAGTGGCACCGAATGATATCTTCGGTGGAGCTGATCCACCAAGAGAGATGATGACGGATTGACAGCGACGGTGGCACAGAGTGATATCATCGATGGAGCTGATCCAGAGGACAAAAGACCGAGATCTGTGGAAATGCATGAACGCCTACTGCGTAGACAGGGCAGCTAATGACGAAGCTGATGTCTGATAGAGATACAAGAACTTAACTTTTGATTTGTTCTCTTAACAGAGAAGGGTGGGGGATGATAAGAAAAATACAAAATAAGCAGAAGAGGGTGATGATGATAATGATGAAGATGGATTCACAGACAGACAAGATTAGGTAGATAGATAAGCAGATACACAGACATACAGTCAAAGAAATACTCAGACAGACAGATAGGACTCATACACAAAGACACAGATCACATCGCTATAACATAAACAGGCATACATGCACCCAATGACACAAGACGCACACATAGACAAAACATGTAGACACGGACACAATACGTGCGCAAAAAAAAGATAGATAAATTGACACACAGACAGATAGGTAGATAGGTAGGTAGGTAGATAGGTAGGTAGGTAGGTATGTAGGTAGGTAGGTAGGTAGGTAGATATGTAGGTAGGTAGGTGAGCGTGCTAGTGTTCATTTCTTATATGTGTCTAATGTTTTACTTTTTACATATTTGACTATAGTGTTTTATATTTTATATTTGTGTCTAGTGTTCATTTTTATATTTGTGTCTAGTCTTCATTTTTATGTGTGCGTCTAGTGTTCATTTTTATATGTGTGTCTAGTGTTCATTTTTATATGTGTGTCTATTGTTCATTTTTATATGTGTCTAGTGTTCATTTTTATATGTGTGTCTATTGTCCATTTTTATATGTGTCTAGTGTTCATTTTTTATATGAGCGTCTAGTGTTCATTTTTATATGTGTCTAGTGTTCATTTTTATATGTGTGTCTAGTGTTCATTTTTATATGTGTCTAGTGTTCATTTTTATATGTGTGTCTAGTGTTCATTTTTATATGTGTCTAGTGTTCATTTTTATGTGTGTCTAGTGTTCATTTTTATATGTGTCTAGTGTTCATTTTTATATGTGTGTCTAGTGTTCATTTTTATATGTGTGTCTAGTGTTCATTTTTATATGTGTGTCTAGTGTTCATTTTTATATGTGTGTCTAGTGTTCATTTTTATATGTGTGTCTAGTGTTCATTTTTATATGAGTGTCTAGTGTTATATTTTTTTATATGTGTGTGTCATTTTTTATATGTGTGTTAGTGTTCATTTTTATATGAGCGTCTGGTGTTCATTTTTATATGAGCGTCTAGTGTTCATTTTTATATGTGTGTCTAGTGTTCATTTTTATATGAGCGTCTAGTGTTCATTTTTATATGAGCGTCTAGTGTTCATTTTTATATGAGCGTCTAGTGTTCATTTTTATATGAGCGTCTAGTGTTCATTTTTATATGTGTGTCTAGTGTTCATTTTTATATGAGTGTCTAGTGTTCATTTTTATATGAGCGTCTAGTGTTCATTTTTATATGTGTGTCTAGTGTTCATTTTTATATGAGCGTCTAGTGTTCATTTTTATATGAGCGTCTAGTGTTCATTTTTATATGAGTGTCATTTTATATGAGTCTAGTGTTCATTTTTATATGAGCGTCTAGTGTTCATTTTTATATGTGTGTCTAGTGTTCATTTTTATATGAGTGTCTAGTGTTCATTTTTATATGAGCGTCTAGTGTTCATTTTTATATGAGCGTCTAGTGTTCATTTTTATATGAGCGTCTAGTGTTCATTTTTATATGAGCGTCTAGTGTTCATTTTTATATGAGCGTCTAGTGTTCATTTTTATATGAGCGTCTAGTGTTCATTTTTATATGAGCGTTCTAGTGTTCATTTTTATATGAGCGTCTAGTGTTCATTTTTATATGAGCGTCTAGTGTTCATTTTTATATGAGCGTCTAGTGTTCATTTTTATATGAGCGTCTAGTGTTCATTTTTATATGAGCGTCTAGTGTTCATTTTTATATGAGCGTCTAGTGTTCATTTTTATATGAGCGTCTAGTGTTCATTTTTATATGAGTGTCTAGTGTTCATTTTTATATGAGCGTCTAGTGTTCATTTTTATATGAGTGTCTAGTGTTCATTTTTATATGAGCGTCTAGTGTTCATTTTTATATGAGCGTCTAGTGTTCATTTTTATATGTGTGTCTAGTGTTCATTTTTATATGAGCGTCTAGTGTTCATTTTTATATGAGCGTCTAGTGTTCATTTTTATATGAGCGTCTAGTGTTCATTTTTATATGAGTGTCTAGTGTTCATTTTTATATGAGCGTCTAGTGTTCATTTTTATATGTGTGTCTAGTGTTCATTTTTATATGTGTCTAGTGTTCATTTTTATATGTGCGTCTAGTGTTCATTTTTATATGTGCGTCTAGTGTTCATTTTGATATGTGTCTAGTGTTCATTTTTATATGTGCGTCTAGTGTTCATTTTTATATGTGTGTCTAGTGTTCATTTTTATATGTGTCTAGTGTTCATTTTTATATGTGCGTCTAGTGTTAATTTTTATATGTTTTAGTGTATTTTGTATGTGTCTAGTGTTCATTTTTATATGTGCGTCTAGTGTTAATTTTTATATGTGTGTCTAGTGTTCATTTTTATATGTGTCTAGTGTTCATTTTTATATGTGTGTCTAGTGTTCATTTTTATATGTGTGTCTAGTGTTCATTTTTATGTGTGCGTCTAGTGTTCATTTTTATATGAGCGTCTAGTGTTCATTTTTATATGTGTGTCTAGTGTTCATTTTTATGTGTGCGTCTAGTGTTCATTTTTATGTGTGCGTCTAGTGTTCATTTTTATATGTGTGTCTAGTGTTCATTTTTATGTGTGCGTCTAGTGTTCATTTTTATATGTGTCTAGTGTTCATTTTTATATGTGTGTCTAGTGTTCATTTTTATATGTGTGTCTAGTGTTCATTTTTATATGTGTGTCTAGTGTTAATTTATGTATGTGCGTCTGGTGTTGGTTTCTGTATGTGTGTCTAGTTTTCATTTCTGTATGTGTGTCTGGTGTTAGTTTCTGTATGTGTGTCTAGTGGTAATTTATGTATGTGTGTCTAGTGTTAATTTGCGTGTGTATGTGTGGTGTTAATTTGTGTCTATGCCTAGTGTTCATTTGTGTATGTGCTTCCAGTGTTAACTTTGTACATCAGTGTTAATTTTTGTATGTATCTAGTATTCATTTTTGTATGCATGTCTAGTGTTCATTTGTATATTTTTGTCTAGTGTTTATGCTTGTATGTGTATCTAGTGTTAATTTGTGTATGTATCTATTGTTCATTTCCGTATGTGTGTCTAGTGTTAATTTTGTGTATGTGTGTCTGGTGTTGATTAATGTGTGTCTAGTGTTAACTTTTATGTGTGTGTCTAGCGATAATTACCACTTTTTTTACCATAGTGTTTATTCTGTTATACATCTCTAGGGATACAAACCAACATTGTTCTACCCAAAACAGAACAACAAACCTTTGTTCAAAGCTCTGGCTCTTCAGGTAAGGGAGATATTGCTGCAGATCTCTGCCTTCTGTCTGTCTCTCTGTGTCTGTGTGTGTGTGTGTGTGTTTACACACACACACAGACACGGAGACACACACACATGAATGTGCGCACACGCGCACAAATGAATGTTGGCACACACACACACACAAGTGCACACGCACGCATACACACACACAGACACACACACACACACACAAACACACACATATATCCTTTGCCAGACTTTGTTGCACTAAGCAACGTCCATTCTCTTTTGCTGTAAACCCCCATGAACGCGTCTGCCCCTCAACACAGATCCATCTGTACATACAATCACATCACTTGGGTGGGAATTGTCATGAAACATTTTTTAAACTTCTGATTCTGCAGCACCAGCTGGCCAGTCCCTGCACTCTCAACCTACAGTGATGAGAACCCTACACAAGTCTGAAACTTTCTCGGACTTCTTGACCGACTCCGCTCTTCGCCCAAGTATATCACGCCTGCACACATGTCAAATTTTGCCTTTAGCTTACGCCAACAAAGACCTTTCTCTTTTCAGTCTGTGACCCTTAGCTCTAGCCAGGGCTTAATGCGGGAAGTGCTTCTTGTCTGCAGCTACTCTGAGATATGACTTTGCTTGTAGAACTTTGAGCCTATCTGCAATATTAGGCAGTGCAAATATATATCACCTACACACTACCAGGTTATCTCTTACACATTCCCGATCCCATAATCTTGTTAGCATTCAGTCCTTTTTGGCATTTTACTGCAATTGCCTCCACATGATCCCTATTAGACAGATTTCTATCGAAAGTGAAACCCAGCTACCTCAGTTTGCTTTCTCTTGTAATGTTAGTGTTTAATTATGAGGCTCGGAACATAAGCTCTTACAATTCTATTGTCCAGAGAGCACCACAAAACAGCCACCTTATCTGAGTTTATGACAGCACCCATTTTTGCACACCTGTCAGTCACTTTGTCTACAGCAGCTTGCAGATCTTGGGCTTTCTGTTATCTTTCACTCCCCTGCCGGTATGCAAGAAAATCATCTGCAAATGTCAGTATACTTCTAACATCTGATGTTTCAAGTTCTGCAATCTATATACATCGGAGAGCATGATTTGGGGGAGATGCTGTAACACAACCCAGGGTTAACCCATGACCTGCAGTTGAACAAGGGTTCTGGGATTTTTTGTTATTGCATCCAAAAAGTGGCTCTTTCAGTCTGTGGCTGTACGACCCACTGAGCACATTCTGCAAGCCTGCCCACTATTCTTACAGCTAGGAAGAGAAACCTGGCCTCAGGAGCAAAGTGTGCAGAGCAATCTTCAGAGAACCATGGAGGACCTGCAACTGACTTGTGAGTTTGTGGCGGCTGTTCACCTGACGGCCTTACCTGAGCATATCAAACACCAAGAAGAAATCACGGGGTGTCAGTCTTTCAGGCTGCAATCCTAACAAGAATGCCCTGGTACTATCTGCCACAGCGAGCCACACTAAAACGTTACAACGGGTGTAGAGCGAGTGGAAGACCTCGAAAAATATGGAGTGATGGCATTACAGAAATGAACATCAGTCTTAATAGTGCTCTTAACAGAGCTCATCAACGAACATGACATCTCCCACACCGACACTTCGATGAGGTACAAGGTGGAAGAGATGAAGAAGAATCCTAAAAGTGGAAGTTTAATTTTTTTGTGTTTTTCAGTCAAAATAAAATTATTAATAATTTGTTAAACCTGCCTTTTCTATTCACAGTTAAACCTGCCTTTTCTTTTCACAGTTAAACCTGCCTTTTCTGTTCACAGTTAAACCTGCCTTTTCTATTCAGAGTTAAACTTGCCTTTTGTATTCACAGTTAAACCTGCCTTTTCTCTTTACAGTGTGAACGACTGGACATCCCAACATTGTCCTTCTTCCCAACAGACCCCCAGTGTATCGTAGACTCCTTTAACTTGGTGGTTGATGGGATATTTGGCTTCAGCTTCAAACCTCCTGCCCGACCCGAATTTGCATCTGTGCTGGAGGGTCTGACGAACATACAGGAGAAAGTGCCTATCTGTTCTATAGATGTTCCAAGTGGTGGGTCCATGACCAGTTTCTTTTAGTTTGTAGTCCCTAGTTTTTTTCTTCTTCTTCTTCTTCTGCTTCTTCTTCTTCTTCTTCTTCTTCTTCTTCTGCTTCTTCTTCTTGGCGTTAATCGGCTCTGAACTCTGGTGGAAAGTTCTGGTTGCTCATCCACCTCAAGAACCTGATGTTGCATGCACATCTGTTTTACAGACTTGACTTATTTGTATGCATACTGTTGATTTCTTGCCTCTCAGGCAGATGCACTCAGACTTTGAAGGAAATCCCCAATTTGTTATGACATGCTTGTTGGGGAGACTGTGGGTCTTTTACTTGTTTTCCCCACAATGGGGTTCGCAGAACCCACACCGGAAGTAGTCCCTAGTGATAGCAGACAGGCTGAGAGCTAAACATCTGAGAAGAATCACACTAGAAGCAGGGGAAGGTAACAATGATCCTGAAAGCCCACACTCTAATTGTGGAAGAGTTTTCTTAATGCAGGCAGGTCTTGCTAGACACACTCGCCATCACCATGCCTCCCATAGCACATGCCTCCCATAGCACATGCCTCCCATAGCACATGCCTCCCATAGCACATGCCTCCCATAGCACATGCCTCCCATAGCACATGCCTCCCATAGCACAGTATGACACTGGCATCTGTAAAGGCAGGAAGGTGCCCACAACTTGTTTCACAAACCTAATTCACCACTTGGTGGTGAATTGATGTATGACAAGTTAGATATTGTGAGGGTCCTTTGGGAACGAGTGAACAGTGCAGAGGCACAGACATCATTATGGTCTAAGGAGAATGGCGCTGCCAGGAGTTACCAGGGGATCTGGCCGACGCTCAACACCCAGGGAAAGGATGAGACGGATATACAATCAGACGGTTACTGGTACCATCGGAATTGGAACTCTTCCCTTGCTGCTGAAGATGGGGACTGAGCACTTATCGGAGTGTCCCAAGTGCAGTGATGTTGATTCTTAGTTCAACATTCAACTTGTTTTGTAATTAAGACATATTCAATGTGCCTGTCCTCTTTCTCTGGTGTTCTAGTCATTCAACTGAGCACATACTGCAGCACTGCCCTTACCTCTCCCAGCAAAGACTGTGGATCTGGCCCAGGGGAGCCACATTGCGAGAGAAGCTGTGGGGGACCGGTGGCCACCTTAAACGCAGAATCCTATTTTTGATCCAGATGGGACTCAATGTCTAGCATGACTGATGTCGAACGCAGAAGAAGAAGGAAAAGTCATGCTACTGTAAAACTATTTATCTGCAGCTTCTTCATAATTTCTCACTTGTCGGCTGATTGTTTGTGATTCACGTTCATACATATTTTGTATTACATCATTCAACACACCGGAGACCACAGTGGGTGTAGTGGCTCCACTCTCACCTGTGGATCCGAAGGTCATGGATTCAAATCCGCATGTTGCCAGATTTGTTTTATTTTCTATCAAAGATTACCTTGGCTCCCAGGTCAACTCAGGCTGGGTACCGGGTGAAGTCCTGGGAAGTAAATTCACCCAACTTGATGTTGACCACATTACCCATCAGGGGCCGATTGGTCTATAACATATGAGTCCTGCCTTACATGCCCTGTGTGCCACCAGCATGTAGAGGGGCCTTCACTTTTACGTTTAGCAGTAATGAGCAGCCTTGATCTGCACCACTCGGTGGTGAATTGATTCATGACACGGCAGATGTGGTCAAGGTTCTTTGGGAACAAGCAACGATATCAGTAGAGAAACAAGATTATTATGGCCTAGAGAGATTAAGGCACCAGGGTGTAACCAGAGGGTCTGGCCAGCTCGCTACACTCAGAGGAAAGGCAAGATGGACATATAACCAGATTGTGACCGGCACCGTCAGTATGGGAACCCTGCGTTGGCTGCTGAAGATGAGGACGCAGCACACATGGGAATGCCCCGAGTGCTGTGATGTCAATTCTTGACTCAACTCAACTTAAGAATTAGCAAACCCATCCTAGCGTCTGTCTTTCCTACTTCCTTTTTGTCACCTGTCAGTGACAGGTGCCGTCTCCATGTTGTCATCTGGCTGCAGTGTTTCTCTGACATTCTCTATCTCTTATCCTGATAATTCGCTCACAGTCTGCAGTTTGATCAGCTCTTGATGATGTCCTGTCACTTGCATCTGTGTTCCACATCTTATCAGTTCATGTGCTGCTACTCTTCCACGCCATGACAAGAGGTTGTTTAAACTCTTTCTTTACTAACTACCTGTCTTTCTCTTGTAATAAAGCTTTCATGTTGTAACATGTTCCTGTGTTTCTACATTCTTACAATGTGACCAACAAATAGGCATTGCCTATTTTTGATCATTATGAAAAATTGTCTTCATGTCTTAGCTTCTGTCATTCCCTTGTGGGCTCCAGAGCTCTATCTTGGGGGTGGGGGAAGGGGGGGGGGGCATAAAAGACCCATTGCCCCTAAAAAGCATGTTGTAGGAGACAACTGTTTAGGGGATTTACGTTTAAAGTCAGAGTGCTTCTGCCTGAGAGGCAAGGAACCACAAGTCTGCATTCAATTAAGCCAGATGTGTAAAACAGATGCACATGCAAAACTCAAGTTCTGGAACAAGACCAGTGTCTAGAAGTGGATGAACAACCAGAATTTGCCACCGGAGTTTACAGCCGGTTAATGCTATGAAGAAGAATAAAAAGTTACCTCTGCTGATTGTGTTAACTGTGAAACTGGCCATGCTTTTCTAACTCACATACACACACATACACACACACACCTATTGCAGGATGCTTGGTCTGACACATATTAGCACCTTTGTTTGCATCATCTGTTAGCAATTTGTGTGTGGGTGAGCGGGTGGGTGACGTGCAGATCATTGTTGCTCGGTTCCTTCCTGCCAGGGTTTATACAGTCAGTGAATGCTGAGAAGAAGAATCTGTTGTCAAAGAAATGTAATTATCAGGGTCATTCATTTTGGCCATCGGAGGAATTTTATATGCACCGTACATCAGTGTTAAATATATATATAACATTTTAAATGTTGATTGTTCAGTAAATATAGCCTTGACAAATATCTGAATTAGTTGTTTGTGTTGATTGAAATGTGCAAATACTGCAGCCATGCGGTTACTGGGCACAGTGCAGTTACTCTGTTACGTAAGTAAGTTTTACCCCATCAGAACATCACACAGAGCGATAAACATCCGGTGACCCAAAGTGCCACCATGCGGATGAGGATCACACATGGAGAGGTGACAGAAACCCCGTTCAACTGTTAGGTTATATTAGGGCCCCTGGCAACAGCCAGGGTGGGGCTTCAGGGGGATGACTATTTTAGAATTGACTGACTTTCTACCCCACTAGGACATCACACAAGCGATAAACACCCGATGACACAAAGTGCCACCATGCGGATGAGGATCACCGTGGAGAGGTCCCAGAAACCGCGTTCAGACAATTGGCCATTTCGATGGCCTGCCTATATTGCGGCCCCCGGCAAACGCCAGAGTGGGGCTTCAAATAACAAAAAATTACGTCCTAAAAAGGACGTAAGTAAATTGTGATTAAAATGGAATTGAATTAAACACTACTCTGTTATGTCTCAAATGAAAGAAGAAGAAAAAATGTATCATTTGTTATTCCCATTTTAAATTCTCATTTTAATTCTCTTGAAACAAATTTGCCATCGAAGCCTCAATGTCCACTGTTTCTAAAGTAGAAGTGAAGTAGCCCAAAGAAACAAGTTTGTAACAAAGTCCATTTTGTTGCAGGCTGGGATGTGGAGAAGGGAAATCCGACAGGTTTGCAGCCAGACTTGCTTATCTCCCTTACTGCACCAAAACTGTGTGCTCTTCACTTCAAAGGTCACAGACACTTTCTAGGAGGAAGGTAATGCCAGCTTATCATTGATGAAACACTCTGTCAGTCATTGCTGACACACTCTGTCAGTCATTGCTGACATGGTCTGTCAGTCATTGCTGACACGGTCTGTCAGTCATTGCTGACATGGTCTGTCAGTCATTGCTGACATGGTCTGTCAGTCATTGCTGACATGGTCTGTCAGTCATTGCTGACATGGTCTGTCAGTCATTGCTGACATGGTCTGTCAGTCATTGCTGACATGGTCTGTCAGTCATTGCTGACACACTCTGTCAGTCATTGCTGACATGGTCTGTCAGTCATTGTTGACACATTGTGTCAGTCTTTGTTGACACAGTCGGTCAGTCATTGCTGACACACTCTGTCAGTCATTGCTGACACAGTCGGTCAGTCATTGCTGACACACTCTGTCAGTCATTGCTGACACAGTCGGTCAGTCATTGCTGACATGGTCTGTCAGTCATTGCTGACACGGTCGGTCAGTCATTGCTGACACGGTCGGTCAGTCATTGCTGACACAGTCGGTCAGTCATTACTGACACACTCAGTCAGTCATTGCTGACACGGTCTGTCAGTCATTGCTGACACGGTCTGTTAGTCATTGCTGACACAGTCTGTCAGTCATTGCTGACACGGTCTGTCAGTCATTGCTGACACGGTCTGTCAGTCATTGCTGACACAGTCTGTCAGTCATTGCTGACACAGTCTGTCAGTCATTGTTGACACAGTCTGTTAGTCATTGATGACACAGTCTCTCAGTCATTGATGACAAGTCTCTCAGTCATTGATGTCAGATGCTAAATGTTCCATGACTCCTGAAGCTATTTCTCTTCCTCCTCACTCGTGGGATCAGATCGGAGATGGATTTATTGGATGCGATATCACAACAGTTAGGCTAAAAATCTCTAAGGGAACAACAAAGGTAACAGTTTATATGACAAAGGTAACAGTTATGTTGTTTATACTAATGGTACCACACTCCAAGATGTGGAGTCATACACCTGTTTGGGCAGTAATGTAGATAAAGATGGGAAAACTGATAGAGATATTGAAATACAAAAGGCAAGGTGAGCTTTCATAGCATTAGGACAATAGTGGAGGTCAAAAGAAATGAAAACTAACAAAGCCTAAAATTGGTAATGCAAATATCAAATCAGAACTGTGGAGTGGAAACGTGGGGAACAACTAAAACAATTGCTAATATTTTTAAAAACTATCTTCTTCTTCTTCTTCTTCTTCTCTTCCACCTTGTAACTCATCGAAGTGTCAGGGGGGGGGGGGGGGGGAGGAGAGATGTAATGTTCGTTGATGAGCTCTGTCAAGAGCACTATTAAGACTGATGTTCATTTCTGTAAGGCTGTTCTTAATGCCATCACTCCATCTTTTCCGAGGTCTTCCACTCGCTTTATACCCGTTGTAACGTTTTAGTGTGGCTCGCTGTGGCAGATAGTACCAGGGCATTCTTGTTAGGTGTCCAAACCATTTCATTTGTTGTTCTTTGATGACCTGTAAGACTGGCTTTATTCCTAGCATTCGTCTGATTTCATGATTTTGTATTCTGTCTTTCCTTGAAACTCCTGCAGCTCTTCTAAGGCATTTCATCTCTGTTGTCACAATTTTACGTTCATTGGAGGATGTAAGTGTCCACGTTTGGCATTGATAGCATAGTATTGGCCAAACAATAGTTCTGATAAGATTCACTTTAGTACTCTGAGGTATCTGCTTGTGTGTCAACAGGGAAGATAGTTGACCCATTACTTGATTAGCTTTGGCACATCTGGAGCTAATTTCTCTGTCCAGTTTTCCGTCTGAAGTAAAAATTGCTCCCAAATACTTAAATTCCTCTGTTTGTCTCAGGGTGTTGTTTTTTAATTTAATTTCTAAATTGTCTTTATGTCTTCCTATCATCATTGTGATCGTCTTCGTAGTGTTTATTTTCATAAACTATCAACGTTCATTAACTGGTGCCTCCACAGAAGAGAGAGAATTAAATGGTATGATAGAATCTCTAATGTAGAGCTTTAGTAGAAAATTAAACAAGTTCCAGTAAATCAAGAGGTGAAGAAAAGATGCTGACGTTGGATAGGACACACACTCAGAAAATCTAAGAACAATATAACTAGGATTTCTTTGCACTGGAACCCACAAGGGCAAAGAAATAAAGATAGACAACAATACAATATGGAGAAGGTGGTAGCTAGAGAGTGAAGTTAAAAAAAGGGGGAAGAAGGACATAGGTAGGATGTATGCAGTAATAGTTAAGAAAAGGACGAATTGACATGAGTTGGTTGAGGGCCATGAATTGTTTGAGGACCATGAGTTGGTTGAGGGCCATGAATTGTTTGAGGACCATGAGTTGGTTGAGGGCCATGAATTGTTTGAGGACCATGAGTTGTTTGAGGGCCATGAATTGTTTGAGGACCATGAATTGTTTGAGGACCATGAATTGTTTGAGGACCATGAATTGTTTGAGGGCCATGAATTGTTTGAGGACCATGAATTGTTTGAGGGCCATGAATTGTTTGAGGGCCATGAATTGTTTGAGGGCCATGACTTGTTTGAGGGCCATGACTTGTTTGAGGGCCATGAATTGTTTGAGGGCCATGAATTGTTTGAGGGCCATGAATTGTTTGAGGGCCATGAATTGTTTGAGGGCCATGAATTGTTTGAGGGCCATGAATTGTTTGAGGGCCATGAATTGTTTGAGAACCATGAATTGTTTGAGGGCCATGAATTGTTTAAGGGCCATGAATTGTTTGAGGGCCATGAGTTGTTTGAGGGCCTTGAGTTGGTTGAGGGCCATGAGTTGTCCAGGGATAGGGGCAGAAGAACAAGAATTATGAGCAGTTAAAATTATAAACAATTCCATTTACAATTACAAAATTACGAGCAATAAAAATACACGCTAGATCCCTTGCAGCCAACCTACATTATGGAGAAATACTCGGACTGGTTTATTAAATAAACATACTAGAGATCACAGAAATGTTTGTAAACCTGAAAAGATATAAAATTTGCTACTGTGGAATTGTTTTTAAAATGTCTTAGGAAGAAAGTTTCAAGGATTTGCTCAAGGAGCAGTTTCACAAATTTGCTAAAATGTACAAGTAGACAAGTGAACAGTTTGAAAGGTGGAATTTTTGTTTTAATTTACTGAGGTAGAAAGGGCTACAGAAACAAATGTGTTCCAGTAATTTTTTGTTGTTGAAATTTTCCAGGCGGAAAGGTCTCACAATTTTGCTAAGAAATCTTGACATGTTTATTTTCCCTAAAGGTATATCTCATTACCTTCAACTGTGACCACCATTGTTTGCTCACTTTCTCTGCAGATTTGTACCGCCCGGGCTGGAGCAGAAGTATGGACTGCGTCTGCCACCTTACCCAGGGACAGACCCAGTGGTGGAGTTGAAGATGCCGCCAAACTCTCAGCAGTCTTGAACAATCAAGTTGTCAAGTTCACAGCATTGTTGTCTTTGCTGCATACATGATGAACACATATGTTTCAAAACTGTCTTGCTTAAGTAAATGTGTATACAGAAGCATGTAAACATGGAAAGAGTGAATTTATAACATCATTTATCCTTTTACTGCAGGTTTTTTTTTTTTTTTTATAAAATAAATAAAACTTGTCTTTTTTTGCCTCAATTCCTTTTGCCAAGACGAAACTCTGTCTCTTGCCAATTACTCACTGCATGTATTTTCATGGGAGTCGCCATGGGGTAGCAGCTAGATACTCGCTTGTGGATTAAAAGATCATGGGTTCGCTCCCTGGCGAAGCCTGACTTTTTTTTCAACAATGACCTTGACTTCCAGCCTTGAATGGGTATCGGGTGCAGTCCCAGGAAGTAAAGGCAGCCGGGGTGATGCTGACCACATCTCCCATCTTGTGCCGATTGGTCTAAAAAATATTGGTCTAGCCCTATATGCCTAAAGGCGTGGAAAAGGGACCTTTACTTACTTTATATATTTTCACGCCAAATGTATATTCTAAACTCCTTTCATGATCTACTGCTAACTTCCACCCCAGGAACCAGACCTTTCATGTCTACTACTGGCTCCCCCCCCCCCCCTCCCCCTTTCCTTTCAGGAACCAGACCTTTGATGGTCTACTGCTGGCTTTCCCTCCAGTAACCAGACCTTTGATGGTCTACTGCTGGCTTTTCCCCCAGGAACCAGACCTTTGATGGTCTACTACTGGCTTTTCCCCCAGGAACCAGACCTTTGATGGTCTACTGCTGGCTTTTCCCCCAGGAACCAGACCTTTGATGGTCTACTGCTGGCTTTTCCTCCAGGAACCAGACCTTTGATGGTCTACTGCTGGCTTTTCTCACAGGAACCAGACCTTTGATGGTCTACTGCTGGCTTTTCCTCCAGGAACCAGACCTTTGATGGTCTACTGCTGGCTTTTCTCACAGGAACCAGACCTTTGATGGTCTACTGCTGGCTTTTCTCACAGGAACCAGACCTTTGATGGTCTACTGCTAGCTTTTCCTCCAGGAACCAGACCTTTGATGGTCTACTGCTGGCTTTTCTCACAGGAACCAGACCTTTGATGGTCTACTGCTGGCTTTTCCTCCAGGAACCAGACCTTTGATGGTCTACTGCTAGCTTTTCTCACAGGAACCAGACCTTTGATGGTCTACTGCTGGCTTTTCTCCCAGGAACCAGACCTTTGATGGTCTACTGCTGGCTTTTCCCCCAGGAACCAGACCTTTGATGGTCTACTGCTGGCTTTTCCTCCAGGAACCAGACCTTTGATGGTCTACTGCTGGCTTTTCTCACAGGAACCAGACCTTTGATGGTCTACTGCTGGCTTTTCTCCCAGGAACCAGACCTTTGATGGTCTACTGCTGGCTTTTCCCCCAGGAACCAGACCTTTGATGGTCTACTGCTGGCTTTTCCTCCAGGAACCAGACCTTTGATGGTCTACTGCTAACTTTTCCTCCAGGAACCAGACATTTTCTTGATGTTTTCTACTGTTATTTGCTGATACTTTTCCTTCTTTCCACTTGATAGTGTTCCATTGTTCTATAGGAAGGCTTGGGAATAACAGCCCATGGCGATACCAGTGCCACGGATGAAGTTCTTTTTTTCTATAGTACAGAGCTGAGGTAGTATTGAAGGGACAATGTGTTGCCCACACATCATGAACTCTCTCTCCACCTGCATTGTTAACTCCAAAGGAAAAGTCACACCAGTACCCATTGGCCAAAGTGTTTCAGTTTCTGATGCATGATTCTGGTAATGAGACAATGTTTTTGTTTAGTTTTCAGATACATTATATATCAATATAATTTTTTTGTCTTCTTCTTGATCAGTTGTATTTTAAGATATTTTTTGTTAACATATAAATTTAAAGGCCCAACTTTCTTCTTTAGTTAATGCAGAATAGTTTTCTTTCTGTTTTTGTAAATTTTCCCGTTACAATAAACTTTGTTGTAACTAAACTCTGTCAGTTTAATATTTTGCTGTCAGTGTCTCAGTTTTAGTACTGGCAGCTTAAAAGTGACTTCAATCTGAATTTTAAGTTTTTGGTTTTTTTTAAACTAAGAAATTAGTTTTTAAAAAATTAGTTAAATAACTTAACTCTCAGTTTTGAAACAAAACATTACACAAGGAAATAGCAAGCACCTCTCAAAACAAAACAAAATTAACTTCAACAAATATGATTAAAAAGAGAAGAAGAAAAAAACAGATGTTAAGCACTGTTAACAGGTTAGTTAGTTGCATATCCTTTACAGGATGTTGCAGAACCAACCCCAACAACCCCTAGGCAAATTTACATCCAGTAGTTTACCATTAAGACAAAGATAATGAGAATAAATCAGGCAAATAGTAATGTGGTTTCTCTTAATGGCACCCCACTCCAAGACGTGGAGTCGTACACCTATTTGGGCAGTAATATAGATAAAGATGGAGGAACTGATAGAGATATTAAAATAAGAATACAAAAGGCAAGAGGGGCTTTCATAGCACTAGGGAGGTCAAAAGAAATTAAAAGAAATACTAAACTAAAAATTTTTAATTCTAATGTCAAATCAGTACTATTGTATGGGGCGGAAACATGGAGAACAACGAAGGCAATTACCAATAAATTACAGACATTCATTAACTGGTGCCTGCGCAGAATAGAGGGAATAAAATGGTATGATAGAATAACTAATGTAGAACTTTGGGAGAGAACTAAACAGGCTCCAGTGGATCAGGAGGTGAGGAAAAGACGCTGGCGTTGGATAGGGCACACACTGAGAAAACAGGAGAACAGCATAATTAGAATGTCTTTGCATTGGAACCCACAGGGGCATAGGAATAAAGGAAGGCCAAAAAACACATGGAGAAGAGAGCTGGAGAATGAGGTTAGAAAGATTGGGAGGACATGGGGAGAGCTCCATGTAATGGCGAAGGATAGAACGACTTGGCGTGAGTTGGTTGAGGGCCTATGCTCCATTGGGGGATAAAAAGGCAGAAGAAGAAGTTTACCATTGCTTTCTGGAGGGTCGGCTTTCTTGATACCACTGTCAAAACCAACGCAAGGCGCATGGCTCACTGTTAACAAGAACTCTAAGAAATAGAAAACATGGAGACGTGTTTTGGTCTGGTTTAGGTTTAGACAACAATTGGTCAACATTATAGCACAAGGGGTAAACCATAAGTGCTCCACTCTACTTCTGACTAGAGCCTGAGCCCAAAGAATCTCAGCCCAGTGCACGAACTCTGTAGCACCGGCAGGGATCCTGAAATACTTTAGGTAGATTTTTAATTCTAAATTTTGCCCGGACAGCGCCATTAGGCGCTATTTCCAACTGATAAGGAAAACAGTGCACAACAGTACTCATGGGCATCCGATCTTACGATCCAGAGACCAGGGGAAATAAGTCCACGTGAAACAATTCCAGCCTTAACTGGGGCCTGAGCCCACAACCTCCAGCACTCGAGGTGGATCCCATGCCTCGAGACCACGCAGTGCCCTTTTTTGTTCAGAATATGTTTCTAATCTATAATTAAATGCAAATAATATCCTCTTTTTTTTTCTTTTTTTTTAATTTTAATATCAACCTGAGGGTCTGGACCAAGGCTGTCTTCAACATAGATGGCCTAAGTCTGGGCCTGCCTAAAAATGATACTTCTAACACAATATGACAGACAGTTTAACAACATGTCTCAGGAATCTGAAGATGAAAGGCAGTGTAGCTTGCTTGAGGGCCAAAATTTCTTCACATGGGGACAGTCACAGGCCAGAAGCCCCAGCATAGAAAGATCATGAATATACTACACCTGACAATGATCAGGGGGCCACTTACTAGGCCTCCGCGGACCAGAGTTGCCCCACAGGCCGACAAAGAAACTTATTTTCGCTGAATCTTCGTTAAGAATGCGATATACAAACCCCTTTAGATACATCATGCTGCAGACCTCATGTGGGTTCCATGGACCCATTTGTGTGTGTGTGTGTGTATGTGTGGGGGGTTTGACCCGCTGCCCTCTAACAAGCATATCATAAAAGGTTACTAAAGAGGGGTGTTTTCTACAAAGTTGGAGTGCATCTGCATAAGATGTAAGAAACCAACAGTCTGCATATAGATAGGACATCTTTAAAACAGATGTGCAGGCCAAAACTCAGATTCTGGAACAAGACCAAAGTGTAGAAGTGGATGAACAACCAGGACTTTGTGCCAGCATTTAATACAGCCAGTGAACACTAAAAAGATATAAAAGAAGAAGATGTACCAACCAGATGATGATGCAACATCGGAGAAGCAGAAGTTACTGTATGACAATAATTGCTCAAGAAGAGTAGCAGGCTATTTCAGGACCAGAAAAATGTCAACCGTCTCCACAAGCTTCTGCTCAGTCTACCGGCCAGATTTCTCCCATTTTCTGCTGTTACCTGTTTATCTTGACATTAAAAAAAAAAACTTATTGACATTCTTGATTTATAAACAGAAACAATAATTGTGTCTTATGCTAATCACAATCTTGGTTTAAAAAAATTAATCAAATATTAATGCATATTTTATTTAAATGTTTTAATTATCTTTTTTTTTTGGTTGTTCTTTTTATTCATTAAAAATGTCAATCGTTTCTGAGATTTGTTATTTGTACCTTAGTTAATGTGTTTTTGTGTAACTCTCAGAAATATTTGTGTGTTGAAGCATGGACACCTCTAGTGATGTGTTGAAGCATTGACACCTCTAGTGATGTGTTGAAACATGGATATCTCTAGTGATGTGTTGAATTATGGACACCTCTAGAGATGTGTTGAAGCATGGACACCTCTAGTGATGTGTTGAAACATGGATATCTCTAGTGATGTGTTGAAATATGGACACCTCTAGTGATGTGTTGAAGCATGGACACCTCTAGTGATGTGTTGAAGCATTGAGACCTCTAGTGATGTGTTGAAACATGGATAACTCTAGTGATGTGTTGAATTATGG